TGAGTTTTTCGTTTTTAAAATAATTTAAAATAGTATTTTCAGTAAAGATTGTTGGGAAACGTACGTTTTGGACGTTGAACGCACAACACAATACAATATGATTGTTCGAACACGGAACGAGTTACGATTTCTTTATGGATACTCTCCCTTCCCGCGGTCCCGCTCATGTGTCTCGGCCGTAAGCTTAGCTGTTGGCCGCCGAGCCTTTTTGTCTTTTTCGAGCGGTGTAAATGAGCGTAACGTACGCGCTCCCATCCTTCACGTCCGGGCACTTGTGGAGACTTTTGGTTTTTCCTTGATCCACGGAGGATATACGTGGAATTGTCCGGCGAGACCTACATATTGGTGAAATCCAGGGAAAACAGTCGCAACCAGGTCACAATTTTTATTATTTAGACCCACGTGGTCAGTGGGCCGATCAAAGCGGGTTTTTATTATTGTATATGATATATTATAGATGTTAATTAGATTTTACAATTAAGTTTTATTTGGGCGCCCGCTAATTTATTATTTATTATAAAAATATACGTGTTTTCGACCTAAAGATCGTGCTGTCGTGGTTAACCCTCCTGCACTCCCGTTCTCAACACAAAACGCAAGTCGTTGCTAAGAACCGCCCTATTTGTAGGATCGGTAGCGGCGCAACCAATGATGGTCAACGGAAATTAAGCAACCCTGATGTCCGACAGTGTAACAGTGTTTATTATGATGATAAAAATAGGCGCTTGCGTGAGTTAAACGAATTATTACAATCGATACACGATACGCGAATGATAAAAATTATGGCTTTTGGTGGACGGTCCATGACACACACAGACTCGGTAGCGGTGCGCGTCGGAAGTCGTCGCGACCGTTTCAGGGACCTTTCAATAATCTACGGAATATTTTTTTAGGATTTTAGTCATAATGTTAAACCATTCATTAAATGTAATTATCCATAAAAAAAGTACTATACTATGCCAAATTAATTATTTAGTAATTATAATTACCTGTAACGATTATTATTACATATAATCAGATCATATTTTAATATACAAAGCATGTGGTACTAATGCTCCCCCCCCCCCGTGATAATTCAATGCTACCCAGTGGTAGATGATCGTGCCACTAATCAACACATTCTCATAACGACCGTAGTGAAAGGAGTTGATTTTCCCTGTATGTTTCTCTGCAGTAGAATACCACGTCTATGCACTACAATGGTAGACAATTTTATTAAAGTGCCACTCAGTGAAAATTACTGATGTTCTACATATAATGTACTTCATATTATCAATATTATAATAGTAAGTGTTAAGCTATAAAAGTAGGAACCGAGTGCCATGTGTTTGTCGCTTTGCAAAGACAATTTTCTCGAGTGTTGCTCATACTCAAGAAAAGACTTAGACTAAAGGCGCTTAGCTCCTACTTTTATATGTATAACATTTCTGTTCGTAAATATCTCTTGCACCGAAATTTCATAAATTTTATATCTCAGTATTAAGCGATCAGTAAAATAATATCGTTTATCTAATCGAATGCTTCCGCAGTCAGGTTTCCCGTCTTACCTAACCATGTCGCTTAGCACCGTTTTCCGACTATTATAATAGTCCTATAGGTGTTTTGGTTTTATTTTATACAAACATTTCGTTTTGTAAAGGTACATCATGTCAATATGTATCAGAGAAACCCATTTTTTTTTATTACAACTCACAAATTATTATACTATATATCTTTGCCTTATATAATTTCATTCGACATTATTAGTAAATATTATTATTAAACAGGAAAAAAACGTGTTGACGATTTGTTAGTTGGTTGATGACACTTGGTAATAACAACGCGTAGTAGTACTCCTACACGAGTTTTAGATAGCAATGTTAAATATTCTTAGTGAATAAAATATCGAACACATCTATTTATATCCGCTCTTTATATTTTATTTACCATCTGAAGCTTTTAACTCGTAAAAAGTTTTTACACATACGTGTGCGCACTACGTTGTTTACGATTTTTATTTATTTTTTTTTCATTGCGGATATCGAACTAGTTTACAAGTTTAGTTTGATTGTTAGAATGAATATAAAGTATTTCTGGGGCATGGTGAATAGAAGGGAATGTCGAAGCTCTATAAAAGTGCACTTAACCCTCATAAATCCCGTCATAACCCAAGCCTTCTGTCATGATGTCTTGTGGAAATTTGGATTCTTTGATAAATGTTCAGTATGAATGGAAACCTTTTGTACTGATTGCCGAATAACGTATAGCAATTTTTCATTCCCGAAATTTCACAGTCGAAGATTAATATTTATTTGAATTATACATCAACAGTTTCAATGGATCGCGTTAAAGAAAAATAATGTTCACCCTGTAAACAAACACATATATAATAAATTATGATACACAGTATAACATAGTATTTTTTCTTCGTACATGGTTATGAGCGAATAAATTGTTGAAATAACGTGAAACAACATTAATTCCCAAGAAAAATAATTGTCTATTGAAGATAATATATACATCGTCATATTATTATACAGATTTCAATCGTTTTGTTGAATTTTCATCTATTCTGTTAATGAAAATTAATAAGAATGGCGAGTGGTTTAAAGAATTAAAATTAGTGACTTCGTGAAACATGTTGTACAAAACTGTTTATGGCTTAAATAAATAAAAGCGTAACACACAATTAATATTTTGTATGTAAATCATGACATGTTTGTAGATTATAAATATGTAAAGTATATTTATTTGAAAATATTTTTTTTAAAACAAAACAAAAAATTCTTAAAAATTATTATAATAATAACAATAATAGTTAAATATTAATTATACTGTTGGTATAATAGTGTCACATTAATTTTGGTTGGTTTTATTTTTGTCAATATTTTATTGTTTGTTCATATTGATGTACACTTTATTTGCGAAGCATTATTTAAGTATTTTTTAAATTAAAATTTAAAAACATTAACTCTCTAAATTGTATCCATGCAGAAATGACTGGATTTCAATATATTAAATTTAAAGTTTATCAAATATAGTATAATTAAATATGTATTGAGATAGCTTAATACAATTAATAAATTTAATAAATAAATCAAATTTTAATTGGATTTGACCAAAGTCTGTCCAACCCTAAGTGTCATAACATTTATTCAATGTTATCAATAACTGTATATTAAACTATGTAATTTTTTTTATTTTCAGTTTTATTGAAAAATATTTATTTGCTATTAATGTTAAATTACATGCATTGCTTAATTAATGATATATCCACGAAATCGTCTGCGTCCCGTTCACATAAATAAATAAAATAAAATCAATTGTGCCTATTTCGAATTGATAGCTCTGGGCGCATAATAGTGTGAAATTGCTTAAAAATATTCAGGCTTTTATTTATTTATATGTTAAAAATGTTCGTCGAGGATTAAGGGTTAAAAACGTCCGTAACTTGTCGCGGTTATTTTTTCAGAAACAGTAAATGCTTTAATTTTTTTCAACAATTGAATCAAGACGTTAGCGTATCCACCAATATCTATCGATCGGTAAATATATATAATTAAATGTATATTTTAATGCGGGTGTATATTATATAGGAGCCATTACTTAAAAATAATCACGAACGATAAATCGTTGAATTAATATTTTAGCGGGGTGTGGAAATTACAGAGTTCGAAACAATAATAATTGTGCTAATCACTTTTTGCTCTTGCATCAACTGAAAACGATTATTTTGCGTATCCTCCCCCACCCTCTGACCCCACAAAGGTATTCATATTTACTCATCGAAGAATTGTTCATCTTATTTACTCGTTAACTGCGTATGATGTTATAACAATAATCACGGCGACGACAGAACCAAGCAGAATACAAATATCATTATATATAAAAGAGCGTGTCATCTTTCATCAAACAGACTCAGGCGACGCTCGATTGCGCATAAAGCAGTTGCCAGTGTATTATGGATCCCCGAGAGACGGTTTTTTTGTTTAGAGATAACATCACGGAGGAATAAAAGGCTAAAAAAAAACCGCGTAATATGATGAGAAAGCTTTTCAACGACGAGAACGTGTAGGTCACCGACAGGGGTAGGTTCATGTAAGCGAATAAGGGTGAGAGGTGATACTCGATTCAGGGCAAATCGGCATAGGTCCGTGAGAAACTAATAGTTGTCGATGAATATGCATCTAAACTCAACAATCAGACATTCGTGGCCTATGTTAAAGAACCGTCGGTCTTACGGTTTGAGAAATGGGGTAGAAGAAGCGATAATTAGTAAGACGATAAATCACATACAGCGGCGCGGTGAAAAAATCTCGGACCCTGGTGCGATTATATAAAACCACCCCACCCACACAAGAATAGCGCGTTCTCGTTAAACCGTATTTCTGTGCGTTGCAAAAAAATATTGACCGACAGTTGTTTCGTATAATTATAAATAATATTCGACGGTCGTTAGATGAACCATATGTAAAACGGAAAGTCGTCGGTACCTAGTTTTGGTACCCATTTCTAGGGCGCTAGAGCGATCACGTGCGAACACCCGTCACCACTGATTACAACACAGTCTTGAGCTGCGGTGCAGCCGTGGTACGTGAATTTTGTAACGGCTAGTCCGGCCCAGGGTATAACGGATATTTCGGTCCCGGCGGAGTGGTCAGGGGTAGGCCGTTCGAACGGGTGGGGTAGTCCGAGCGCGCGGCCGACAGATAGGGTTGCATGTGCTGTATAATATCGACTGGTGTGCCGTTTTGGTTGCATACTCATTAAGGCGGTGGCGTGACGGCAACGGCGGGTCGGGCGCACGCGCTCGTCGCCCGTGCGCGTTTCCTGTGCGAACGCATCCGCCGCTGCCGCCACGCGCGCGCGCACCACACGGACGCGGGCACACACACCAACACACAAGCGATGTCGGGTGGCGGCGGCGGGTCCCTTCCGATCTATTACTCGTGGGTATTCCTCCTCGCCCCGCGGGCACCGTGGCGCGCGGCAACCAGCGGCGGCGGTCCCAGTCACTCGCCGCACCGTTCAGTCGAACACATCCGTTTAGCGCGATCGCTCGGGAGTATACCGTGTGCGCCAAAAAAGCACACCTCCCACCAGTAGTGGTTAGTCGTAGTTTGCAGGAACAAATTTCATATTATTCCGATTACTTGTAGACATATATAAATAAAAAAAAAAAAAAAAAAAAAAAAAAGTATTAACAATAATATTACAATCACCAGAATAATAACGAACAACTTTTACCATTTAGTCCGTGCGTATCTCGCGTGCAATTCGACGTTTCTCCGCAACCGTGCACTCCAGTCGCGTATGTGCGCGCGTGTTTACACCCGTATACCGTCGTATACCTGCTGCTGCCGATCGCGTCGATCGCCGTAGCCGCCGCCGTTGCCGCTGCTCTGGGTCTTAACTGCGGACGACACCACGTGAACGTCGTCTACATCCGTTGAACCGTTCATTTTTTAATTCCCGTTGTGTGTGTCCGCGTGTGTCTCCGTCTTCTCCGTCTCTCTATTACGTATATTGCAAAATCGTATCAATCTCTCTTCTGTCGTTCGTTTACGCGCGCTTCTCGTTCGCTCGCCCCGTGCCGTCTCCCTTTGCCGATCAAACGGTAAAAACGCCACCACCGCTCCCGTCGCACCGCTAAGGACTCTGCGTGCCGCGATCGTCTCCGTCGCCGCAAAGAACTTCGTCCGTCAAAAGGATCCAAACTCGTAAACCGTGTGCGTGTGTGTGCCGTCGCCGCAACTCACTCGTTCGATTTGCCAAAGTATTTCGTTATCGTAGTGCTTCGTCGTACGCATTATCACGCGACAACCCTTCGGTCAAAAGTCACTTACAAATACACACCCCTGCACCCGTACGTACGCACTATATCTGCAGACACATACTTAAACACGTGCGCGCTCTAAGCCTGTACTAGTCGTTTTTCGATTTTCACTAAAACCGCGGAACAATCTATATAAATTACGATGGAATCGCAAAGCCAGGATGCAGTGACCGTGGCCGCGGAGGTTCCCAACGACCCTGGGTAAGTGATATTCCTTAAATTATTATTGTTTTCGAAAAGGACATTATATACTCATACACACACACACACATACACAACACGCGCACGCACTTATCCTTAACCGTCTCATCTTTCTTTTTACCTGCATCGTCATGGGTTAACTGTTTCGCCGTGGTCGAGTTTTCCGATTTCTAGCGAAATCCGTTTAAAACACCGCACGCCGCCTCCGACCCTTCCCGCCACAACCCCGCCTCATCCGCAACACCCACCCGTCCACCCGTCCACTCTACCGAAAGCTTGACTGCTGCAAGGGTGCAGGTGGGATGCCGATCAGGCTGGGGTACTGCACCGCTACCGCCTTCGCTGCTGTGACCACCGTCGCTACTAAATGTGGTTTTCGTTTTTGTTCTTCCCTCTTGACTGCAGTGTGTAGTATCTACATGTATAGGTGTATTGCAGACTTTTGTAATGTTCACACGTCGTCACACATAAAAAAAAAAAAGAAAAATTAAAGAATCACTCACCCCGTATGGTGGGCACACACAAACACACACACACACACACACACACACGCGCGCGCGCGCGCCCGCGTATTGATTCGCGGTCGGTCAAAAGTGCACACACCGCCATACGCATAATTTAGAAATATCAAATAAAACCAAACGAAAACGACGATGACTGTGATCCGTGTATCACACACGTTTGGAATAATGAGCCTAATCGTAATGTGTATGATGCCGAATGTTATGGAGTGATAAAAAAATAAATAACACCGTTTAAGCAGTGCGATATGGTTTTGTTAAATGGAAAAAATGATCCATCGATGCGATAACTGTACAAAATACTGCAGACTCTCACACGTTTTTTATAATTTTCTCTCTTGCGTTTAAAAACTGGGTGGCATTTCATTCGTATATATTTTTCATTCCATCATCCGTTTAGGAAAACAAATCGGATATTATTTCAATAAATCCAGAGTGTATGAACAAAGATGTTATCTATTTTCACGAGTATTTTTTTATTTAAAAAAAAAAAAAAACTCTTTTAAAACGTCGAAGATTTTAATCGAAATAATTATAGTGTCACTGTCAAGTTAACATTTTCGAATTACAATTACAAGTTTTGTGGACATTTAAACGAATGTTCGTTCGTTACAATCGAGAATTTTGAAATTATTCACTATAGGCATTATACGCCGAAAATCATTGCACATAATCTAATATTAAGTTGAACTAACCACAACAAAATCATTTGTTTTTAAGTTTTGACGAAATAGATAATACATTTTAAATCGAAATTAATATCAAAATATACTAAAGTCACATGTTATACGCGATTTACATATTCTCAGAATTCTTAGAATTCGTGTACCTAATGGTTTCGAAATTGATTTCCCGTAATAACAGTCTTGGTAAATAAAATTAGTATTTATTTTTCTCGGCAAAAAATTCGCTAGTGAAAATAAATGGGGGCGTTTTTTACAAGGGATATTCTGAAAAAAGTGTTATTATGATTTCTTTTAACGATTTAAAAATACAGCGAGTTGTAATGTTGCCAACGGTAACGAACCGTTTCAGCATTTTTAAAACTGTTCGAAAAATAACGGGATTTTTTCCCTACTCCCCTCTCATCATTTGCTTCTTGTAGTCGTCTACGGGCAATGTAACATTGACACAATAGTATATTCAAAACCGAGACAACGTGACTAGGAGACGTTCTAATTAGTAATAAAATCTGGTCGCCGTCACTAAAATATCGCGTAGGAAGAGAGAATATGTATGTAATGTGTATTTTTGTTAAATTTATCAATTGTTGATGGTATTATACTTGTATACTTATTTATCTTACTCGCGTTCCACTTATTCCGAATTCGGCTGCGAACGACAACCTCGGCGGTATTCCTGTGGAGAGGATTATAAATATTTCAATGCGTTTTTTAACAAGGATTCATCGTTAGGCAATTCGTTTTATCGATAATCGTATTGTTTCTAAAGAACTAGTTTTTTATAATACAAAATTCCATAATATTCAAACGTTTTCTCATGACATGTATATTGAACAACTACCCAACCCCATGTGCGGGTTGCTCTTCATTCATCCTCGACGGGAAACCGCAGACTGTATTTAAAATCTACTCGTATGAATGACAGCGAAATGTCGGAAAACTTTTGTTTGCGTGTCACACGTGTGTCGTCGCATCTCGAAAGAATAATAATGAAAAAAAGAAAAAACCGTACGGAAGAGAATAAAAAATAAAATAAACAACGTTGACGAAAAATTATAGAAGTGATATTTGTGTTGGTGAGAGAAAAACAACGATTTTATGTTGAACAATGATTATTATTGCGGTGTAGTGCATAGGTCATCGATTTAAAGAAAAGCAATGTATCATCTTAAGTTTCTCAATAAAATAAGCTCACACTTCTTACACGTTGAATGTTTTGGACGGGATAAATAAAAATAGAATATTTTAACCAAGCTTTTCTGGATTTATTAGAGGCTTCGAGATGATGAGATCCAATAAAAAGAAAAAAGTTCAAACTTTAAGAAATTATAAAAAAAAATATTACTTTATGGGATATCAAAACTTTATCGTTAGTTTATGAATATAAAACAAAAATGTCTTTGTGTAGCTTGTGGTTTTTAAAATATAAGAAAAAACGAAGTTGATCTCTTTGATACAACGTTTGTGTTCTTTGAATAATTTTTTATTAATGAGCTCTGTAAGTCTTTAATTGACTGAAAATACATTGTTATCGTTAATACGTTACAGCTATTAAGATAAGTTTTCATCATTATAAGTTTTAACTCATATAAAATAATTAATTATATAATCTTTTTTTTTATTTTTTTGGTTAATACAATTTTAAATAGTCTATAATAGAATCTTAAATGAATTTAAATATTTAATTAACTAAAAAAAAATGAAATGAAATATAGTTTAACAGTACGTATGAACTCACTCAGTTGTTAAATAATCTTTCCATGTCTCTAAATCGATATTAAATTATTTATTCTAATATCATTGATTTATATTATTTTGTGAATGTATATTGCTTAAATTCAATTTACGAGGTGCATAATGTTACTTCCACTGGCTACACTACACAAATAATTTATTTAATTTATTAATCAAGATTACTATTACGAACATTTTTATACTAAATATTTTGTTTATAAGTAAAATTAATTAAATCAATTTAGTGTGGTATTTGGTTGTGTGTTTTTTCTTAACGAGTACTATTTAAAAAAACCTAGGTAACTTTTAAATTCATAAAGTTATATCGAACTCGATAACCTTTATGATTAGTAAAATTATAAAACTGAAATAAAATTTATCAATGAAATATTTTATATTTAAATTATTATAATGGATAAGGATTAAATATGTATAATATTATATTTCTCTTAAAAAATAATTAAATGAACAAGTATAAAAAATAAAGATAGTACAGCAACTTGCAATAAAAATGTTGTATTATGTAATTTTTTATTAAATTTTACATCAAAACCATGAAATAGAAAATCTAGTTTCACGAGAAATTAATTTTATTATTTTCAAACTAAATATAGGTTAGGTTAAATATTAATTTTATACGGAAAGAAACTAAACGGATGCATGAAACCTTTTAGTTTTACAATTAACCATCAATGTTATCATATATTGTAATCGAGAAGTGGACTTTAATTTTAAGGCGATATGTTTGCTGAACTTGTATAGCGAAGTAATCAGTTGGTAGTTAATAAATTTATGAAGGGGTTTAATTAATAAAACAGTTGTTTAACTAAAAGTGTAATACGTTATCGAGTATCAATGAAGTACACCGTAATAAAGTTATCTGCTTTATCACCATCATATTATTTAAATGATATAATATTATTATTTTAATTTCAACAAACGTTTAAAGAGCTGGAGTACAACCCATTATAAGGAGCAATAACTAAACATTTTATGTGGTATTTATATTCAGCTTGTCAACGTATGAGAAGTAAATTAATATTTTATTGTGTGTCATTACATATACTCTTTAAACTCAACCGCCTATCAAAAAACGGTTTTAAATCGTTGGCCGAGATCATAGTTATGGATTGATTTCCCAAATTTGCAACATTAGAGTAACATTACGTGATATCTATGTTGTTCTATAATTATTCCATATTTTAACGGTAATTATAATTATGTATTGAATAAGTAATTAGGTGAATGTGTATTAATTTATTATTAAAATGGTTAAAGTTAGTACCTAATATTATATTCAAAATTTTAAGTAATCACGTTACCCGACTACCATAACTGTGTTGTATTAAAATTCAATTCGAGTATACTTTGGAATAGGTGAATAATTGTATTTACATTACTTCTATTCAAGTGAGGAATCAAAGTGCGCATCGACCAGCTTTCGTCATCGGGTACCCATCGATCACTCCTAACATGTGATCGTATGCCGGTAGTGAAGTTTGCACAAAAGTTGGTCTCTGCTTCTTCTAAGCCGTATAGAATATAATTTATTTATAATATTAAGAAACATAATTTTTATTTTAAAAAATGCGATAAATTTAATTTTCAAACTCTAATAAAAATACTCAAATAAATTATTACGGGACCATCAATTTAATAAGTTTGAACAAAATATCGGGTCTGTAAAGAAAACAGTTAGTTATCAACAAAAATCTTAGTAGGAGGAATAAATCATCAAATATGGTTTATGGATAGTGAACTATGCAATTTGTAAATAACGTAGGGTTTTTAGCCCTCTGAACGTACCGAATACTTGTCATCACGTAGAATTTTCCAAAACCTTACATATATTATTGTTTTACGGAAATAAAATTGTGCATGGTCAGTTGATTCATAGCAGTAACACATAATTCATCTGGAACGGTTATTATTGTATTATTGTATGTACGATATTACATGATGAGCTCTTACGATAATCGTCGCCATGCTATGACTTTCAACGCATATATATATATATATATATATATATATATTTATGAACTCAGTCACAAGAGCTAATGAT